AGCTTCAAATGTAATTAATAAGCACGACGTATATTACTGCACTATGCATATTTAGAAGTATGCAAAGGTAAAGAGAAAGTGACGTGCAAGTATGGAGGGTTCGTGAATCCGAGGAGTCCTAACTGCGACTCCTGTGTTTGCCCCGGTGGTTATGGAGGAAAAGATTGCTCGCAAAGAGTGAGTGATTCCTGAATTCGTGGATGATTACCGATTGATGTCTTTTAGCCGATGTCTGCATGCGGACAAGAATTAAATGCTACAAAAGAATGGCAGGACGTTGAGCTGCAGATCTCTAATGATGCTCCGGAAAAATACGCAGACGAATATGAAAGATGTGTCAGCTGGATTCGAGTAAGAATTCTACAATCTCTTACTTGTGCCTCTCATTGTTTACATCCGTGGCGAATGAAGCTGAATTTCTTTCTATAGCATGTGCATGTAGAATCAGCAAAAAAACTTTTTTTAGGCACCGGAAGGCAAGAAGATATACATAAAAATTAAAGCAATGAACTTTGACTACTACGAGCTCAAATATGGATGCCAACTCTCAGGCTTTGAAATCAAATCAAATGATGACCAGTCTCTCACTGGTTACAGGTAATGTCAATTGTAACAATGATGCATTCGTTTCGCACTATTCCTTAATTTAGGGTGTGCTCAACGGATACTGTTGGTTGGGAATTCGGTTCTCGGCATAACATAGTTCCGATCATAGCTTACAGCAAACTTAAGACTTACGTCAGCAGAATTACCCTCCGTTATACTTATGGTAAGTTGGTAATTATTTGTATTTTTCATGGATTTAATCGATTTTTTATAGCCTAAACATCTTCAAATTCGTGACTAATGGGATGCGCTATATTTGACAGAATTTCAAAGTTTTTTGTTTATAAAAATAAAAAAATTGCATACTATCTTATAGCTTCATCATACAAATAATCAACCGTCCGACCTAACCTACTTTATGAATAGCTTGACTGGCTAGACTATTTTTGGAGGTGGGGCACACTAAAAAAAGCTATGATATGGCAGAGAAGAGTAAGACAACCTAAGAAAGCATAAGCTATGAATGGAAGAGAATTATATAAAAGAAACGAAAGAAGAAACACA